ATGTATGTATGTATCTATCAACTTGAGTTGGTTTATCTATCTATCTATCTATCTATCTATCTATCTATCTATCTTCATCAGTTGATTTATGTATGTATGTATGTATGTATGTATCTATCTATCTATCTATCTATCTATCTATCTATCTACTTCAGCTGGTTTCTTTCTCTCTCTCTATCTCTCTATCTATCTATCTTCATCAGTTGATTTCTTCATTTTATGTCTGTGTGTATGTCTGTAGCATGTATATGCCTATCAACTTCAGTTGGTTTATCTATCTATCTTCATCAGTTGATCTATCTATCTATCTATCTATCTATCTATCTATCTATCTATCTATCTATCTATCTATCTTCATCAGTTGATTTCTTTATGTCTGTCTGTCTGTCTGTCTGTATGTATGTGTATCTATCAACTTCAGTTGGTTTATCTATCTATCTATCTATCTATCTATCTACTTCAATCTTTTCTTATCTATTTCTATCCATCTATCTATCTATCTATCTATCTATCTATCTATCTATATATATATATATATATATATATATATATATATATATATATATCTACTTCAGTTGGTTTCTTTATCTATCTATCTGAATAATTGTTTTAATAGAAAGTTTTTATTTTTTTCAATCAAAAGTGTCGCTGGCTGCTCAGTCAATGAAGTTTTCTGAAACTGTTAATATCGCTATTAGTATTAAGATTACAAGTGGTAAGAAAGGCATAACTTTAAAAGAGACTCAAAATATTGTCATGCTATTAAGTCAGTGGGTCTCAACTAGGCGTGGGAAAACTGGACTAAATATAATGCTATCGATAGGTTTCGCATAGCACAATCGACAAGATATGAGCAATGGAAGTGGCTCCAAGAACAAAAAAAAAAAAAAAAAAAAGAAAGAGTTTAGAATCGCTATATTAAGTGATAGAAACATAATGTCAGGGAATTGCGAAAACGTTGAACGGAATTCACCGAAATGTTTGCAAAGACACTGAAAATATCGACAAGATATGACCAATAGAAGTGGCTCAAGAACGTTGCAAAAAAAAAAAAAAAAAAATGATGATTAAAGGAGCTGGTCTTTAGGATATTTTCCTGTTTGGTGAGGTGAGAGAGTACAAAAAAGTTAAACTGTTCTGTCTTCCCATACACCACGGTGGTCAGTCTTAATAAACTTAAAGACTCAATTACATTAATACCATTACGCCACTCACTTTTATGAAATAACTACATACGTACAGGTTTTCCCCGCCGTACGAAATGGCGTAAATCAAAGTAATTATTGTTAATTAATTAATTAATTAATTAATTTAGGACAATAGATAGAGATTGACATTGCATTTAACATTTTAAAAATTTAAAGTTGACTGGAAAGCATGGAGCCAGAAGAGAGTTCCCACAAGGGAGAAGTGCGAAAATAAACTGTTAGTATAGAACTAACGGTTACATCTATACATCTTTTTTTTTTTTTTTTTTTTGCAACGTTCTTGGAGCCACTTCTATTGGTCATATCTTGTCGATATTTTCAGTGTGTTTTGCAAACGGTTCGATGAATTCCGTTCAACGACTTCGAAATTCCTGACATTATGTTTCTATCACTTAATATAGCGATTCTAAACTCTTCTTTCTTTTTTTTTTTTTCTTTTTTTTTTTTTGTTCTTGGAGCCACTTCCATTGCTCATATCTTGTCGATTGTGCTATGCAAAACCTATCGAAAGCATTATATTTAGTCCAGTTTTCCCAGCACACTTCTTGCATCTCCCCTTTCCCTCTTTCAATAACGTTAGCTGACTGTTGTCCAGCATAGACACTCGAAATCAGAACCTATTGATCTTGATAGTCTTTTTTGTTTATCATATAAGTATCCCAACTATACCTGCATAACACCTTAGGAAAGAAACACTATAATTGACTTATGTGTTTTTGTTTGCTGGGCTGGAACTCTCGTTGCAATGTAATGGTTAACGAGCTAATCTCATAAGGTGACCATAGAATGTCATTTTAAATCAAGTACTATTTTATTACCACCAGCACTCACTCAGCGCTAAGGAAGTGGCCGGATTAAGCCTGGATTATAAACATTACTTATAGGAGAATTTAACCGCTTAAAAAAGAAACAGTCGCTCAAGGCACAGGACCTCACCTGAGAGTAGAACCGTTCATCGCGATAGGTGAAAACTCAGGGTCTGTTCGGTGATGACGTAATATAACTAGTTTGGTTTTCAAGGCATTGAATGTGACCAGCCAGTCATAGAAATAATCTACCAATACGTCTTAGATGAGAACAAGGGGCAGTAAAATTATAAAGGGTGTTCCAATAACTTGGACCGATGCTCCTTCATTTTCTGTAATGTTGACTTTTACCCACCTTGACAAAAAAAAAAAAAAAAAGGTTTCAACGATAATAAATTAATAGAATGACTACAAGCTTCTGTAAATATCCATCTAATAGGAAACTTGTGATCATCATTAAAAGAAATGTATGTGAGAATGAAAAACAGCTTTCAAGTAAAGATCACCAGAAAAAAAAATCTGCTGCAAGTAACGTTGACATTGAAACAGCAAAGAAAGAATCCATATTTGAAAGATTAATGAATGTTCTAGAATATCAAAAAAACCCATATTAACATATGATATTCAGATATCTGTCTATATTTCTGAGATGAGGTATTATGCACACCATTTACATTATTCGACTATTATCCTCATGTTTGTCGTCATATTTATTACAACGTTTCGGCCCTTCAGTATCTGTCTATATTTCTGAGATGAGGTATTATGTACACTATTTACATTATTCGGACTATTGTCCCTCATCTTTATCGCCATATTTATCACAACGTTTCGGCCCTTCAGTATCTGTCTATATTTCTGAGATGAGGTATTATGCACACTATTTACATTATTCGGACTATTGTGCTCATCTTTGTCGCCATATTTATTACAACGTTTCGGCCCTTCAGTATCTGTCTATTTCTGAGATAGATACTGAAGGTCCAATGTGAAGGTGAAATAGTGACATTTATAAATACCGTCACCCGTCTATATTTCTGAGATGAGGTATTATGCACACTATTTTACATTATTCGGACTATTGTCCTCATCTTTTGTCGCCATATTTATTACAACGGCTGTTGTACGCCCCTGGCCTTCTTCAGGTGATTGGAATTTCGAACTGAACCCTATATTTCGCTCACTGTTCTAGTTCCACGTGCCATGTTTAATGGCTGTCAGTTATCAGTTATCACCTGTTAATTCCCCCTCCAAGTTCTCTACTGCCTTAACCGGGTATTGAACTCACACTCTTTGGGTCCTGTCACTGGATCTACCCAACGCCTTTTTATCCACTGTGCCATGTGCCCTTGATGATTATTCAGATATATTCATGTAAAACAATACTCGTTATTCTACACAGCTGATGACTGTCCACTTCTAAAAAGTTTTAAAGACAACAAATTTATGGAATGGCACCAGATTCTCCAAGTATTAATCAAATGGGAGTCGTGTAGCCCATCATTAAAGGAGATATATATGAGAAAATCCAAAGAAGAACTTAAAAAGTAATAAAATTGTAGTAAATAATGCTAAAAGTTGAAATAACGGAAAAGTTATCAAAATCAATGGACTGATGAAGGTTGCAGAATGTCAAAGAGGCCATAATAATATATAAACTAATGTTTGAGTCTAGTATACGAAAGATTATGTTCATCAAATTCCTGTGGCCTATATTTTGGGGATTTATGTATAAAGAGGCATTTTCCCTATGCTTGCATATTTAAACCTAACAAAAGAAAATTTAACACTTATTTTTACATAAGAATGAATATTATCAGCTGAAGTTCACAGGATATGTTGCTCATATAAATAAATCTTGGAAATTTTACTAATATCGATTGGTTAGTACTAATTTTGTTGTGGGAATATTGACTTGGAAAATAAAATCTGGCAAATGTATCACCCTATTGTTTTTTCTCCTCTATGTTAATATCGTTTACTATCTATCTATCTATCTATCTATCTATCTATCTATCTATCTATCTAAGGTTAAGGTTAACCATATCTATCTATTATCTATCCATCTATCTATCTATCTATCTATAGTACCTGGTTGTCCATTATTCATCTATCTATCTATCTATCTATCTATCTATCATCTATCTATCTATCTATCTAAGGTTGACCATATTCATCTATCGTACCTGATTTGTCCATTATCTATTCATCTATCTATCTATCTATCTATCTATCCATCTATCTATCTATCTATCTATAGTACCTGGTTGTCCATTATCTATTCATCTATCTATCTATCTATCTATCTATCTATCTATCTATCTATCTAAGGTTGACCATATCTATCTATCGTGCCTGGTTGTCCATTATCTATCTATCTATCTATCTATCTATCTATCTATCTAAGGTTGACCATATCTATTGTACCTGTCTAAGGTTGTCCATTATCTATCTATCTATCTATCTATCTATCTATCTATCTATCTATCTATCTCTTCATATCTATCTCTTCATATCTATCTGTTATCTTCATATGTATCTTTTATTTCTTTTTATTTTGTAATACCCATCGATCGTTTGCACTTTCTATGTCTTATATTATCTATCTCAGATGCTGCTCAAGATTAGGTAATTGGTAAGGTAGTCTACGAATACCAAACTTCTTGGCAGGCAAACACCTTCTACCCCTTCCAAGGCTGGTACATTCTTTTTTTTTTTTTCCTCTAAAATTTTTTGATTCTCTATGAAACAATTTTTGCCACAAATGTTTACTAATCTAAATAAACAGAAAGATATATCAATTTATCTATATTTATGTGTGGTCAGTCTTTATAGCAGTCGGTGTCTGTCACATCTTGAGATTCGACAGCAGTAATCATACATACCTACTTAATACAATCATACCTCAGGGTTATCTATCTATCTATCTATCTATCTATCTATCTATCTATCTATCTATCTATCTGAGGTTGTTCATTATCTAAGTTTGTTCATACCTATCTATCTATCTTGTGTTAGGCTGTTCATATCTATCTATCTATCTATGTTAGGATGTTCATATGTTTCTATTCTATTCTGTTATATTCATATCTATTATCTATCTATCTATCTTACCCTCTTTGTTTGTTTTTCTTTTATGCGTTTCCATTCCCCTACTACCGTTCTGTGACGTTACTCTATTATTTTTGACAGCCGTCTCTCTATCTATCTATCTATCTATCTATCTATCTATCTATCTATCTATCTATCTATCTATCTATTTTCTATTAATCTTCTATCTATCTATCTATCTATCTATCTATCTATCTATCTATCTCTATTCTATCTATCTATCTATCTATCTTAATCTATCTATCTATCTATCTATCTATCTATCTATCTATCTATCTATCTATCTATCTATCTATCTATCTATCTATCTATCTATCTATCTATAAATCTATCTATCTATCTATTTATCTATCTATCTATCTTCTATCTATCTATCTATCTATCTATCTATCTATATATCTATCTAATCTATCTATCTATCTATCTATCTATCTATCTATCTATCTATCTATCTATCTATCTATCTATCTATATG